GATATGGAAGGGTGAGCACGGCTGGAGGAGTCAAGGCGCGGAGGGCTGCACAGTAGACTTACCCCCAGAGAGGCCTGAGGGCGGGAGAGCAGGCCAGGAGGGTTTGCCAGTGGTGCAGGTCCGGGAAGCAGGAAGAGGTGAGGGTGGGGCCAGGTCCCGCGGGGAAGCAGTGCTCCTGGGCCCCAAGGAAGGCCCCAAGCTGGCCTGGTTGAAAACGATCAGGAAGCAGCACCAGTTCCCCAGGTGTCTGGGTACCCAAGACCAGGAATGGCACAGGGCCCAAACCAGGAGCAGAGAACAGCGGTGGGGATGAAGGGCGAATGAGGCCGGGGGAGTCAATGCGCGGAGGGCTCCGCGATGGACCCACCCGGAGAGTCCTGAGGTTAGGGTAGAAGGCCAGGAGAGTTAGCCGGTGGTGCAGGTCTCGGGAAGCAGAGAGAGGTGAGGGCGGTCCGGAGGAAGTGCTCCTGGGGCCCAAGGAAGGGCACCAAGCCGGTGGGGGTGAACAGGGTTAGGAATCAGCAGTGGCTCCCCAGGTGTCTGGGGCCCCAAGACTAGGAATGGCACAGGGCCCAAGCTAGGAGTAGAGAACAGCGGGGGAGATGGAAGGGTGAGCGCGGCTGGTGGAGTCAAGGCGAGGAGGGCTGCATGAGAGAGAGAGGTTTCTTATAGGTCACAAAGTTTTGGGTAATTTCATTTTTGTGTGTTTTGTAATTTGTAAACACTAGAATGTATTACTTTATAAGAAAAATATAAGCATTAATTTTTTAAAAGATAGTTGGCTACAAAATATATGCTTATATTTTCAAAGTGAAGGGTGAGGAAAAACTCTGATTGGATATGTTGAAAGAAACAAAAGATGGTTTTTCTGAAAACGGAGGGTACAACCAAACAGGATTTGTTGTGGTGGTTGTCCTGCCTTCTTTTGCCTTCTGAGGGAGCTCCGTTTTGGGTTTAGCTTCTTGAACTGATGAAGGGGCATTTTTTCATTTTTATTTTTGCAATGCTGGGGTTAAAATCTGGGGCCTCATTAAAGCTACACCCCACCCCAGCATACACTTCTTTTTTGTTTTATTTTGAGAGGGGTCTTGTTTTGTTGTCTAGGCTGATCTTCAACTCCTGCACTCAACTGATCGTTCTTGGCTCAACTTCATGTAGCTGTGTAGCTGTGGTTAGAGATGTATACCACAGGCAAGGCAGGGACATTTCTTTATGTGAAGTATTTTAAAGCTCTGATTGGGGGCTCTCCCATGAGCCTCTAATTGGTGATCAATTCCCTTGCAGTTTTTCAAAAAAACTCTACCAATTAGTAAGGAGCTTGACTTTTCTGTATACCAGCTACTGATCTCAAAGAGGAAAGGAGGGAAGTGTCTTCAAGCTGAGCCAGTGATGTTCTGTGGAATGAGGTGCTTTAGCATCAGTTCTGATTTGTAACCTCTGCTCCTGTCTGTTTAAAAAGAAAAATCACTCTAACCACCAATTTAATAATCATGTTCCCCAATTTAATATTCCTATGTCCCTGTGGAGTTTTGATAAATTAAAATCTAAGTGATTTCCTTGGTCTATGAAATCTGATAGTACCGTTTTGTGCCTACAGGAAATAGCACAGATGTTTGTGAGAGTTGGAATGTGTGAACAAGCTGTGAGTGCGTTCTTGAAATGTAACCAACCAAAGGCAGCAGTGGATACCTGTGTACACCTCAACCAAGTAAGAAAACTGACCCTTGCTGTCTGGGAAGCTTGTTGTTTCAGGGATTTTCAAGTTAAAGCAAAATGAAAGTCTCTGTAGTCATCTCGTGGAGATGGTCTCCAGTGGAAGCCTTGGCGGGCTGGGCATAGATTTCAGGATGTGTTCTGAGTTGAGTTTGAGTGAGTGTAGCTTTTGCACTTAACCTCTTAAAGTGCCACCCTGAGGGGAGACCCACTCATAACTAACCCAACCAAGGAACTCAGAACAGATGTACTTTCAATCTGCAAGTTTTTGTCTGGCAGTAATTCCATAATTTTCTGCATTTTATTAGGGTTGGATTTTGTTTCCAGGGAAGGACCAAGTTAAATGGTCAGTCATTGCCTGGGGAAGGAATTGAGTTACTTTATCAGTATTTATTTTGGCAAATGTATTTTCCTTTCTTTTTATAGGAAACATGTATTTGATATTTTTAAAAACTAAAGTTAATTAAAATTAAAGTGCAGAATTATTACAGAAACCTGACTGTCAGTGTATTCTTTTAAGCATTTCCTTTGAGGTGTGCTCCATTTACTTTATAAACATAATCTCTAAATGTTAATTCTGATAGGATATTTTAAAATGAAATTATATATTTTGTTTTACTATAAAAAATTAAAAATGGAATCTTTTTCTGGCTCATGTGCAGAAAGAGAACTGTAGATTGATGTGATTATAAACTTCGAGACTGCCCCTTTCAAATGCCCTTCTTTGACAAATAAATCTTAGATTATATAATCATTTTGACACATTTAGCTTATATAACTAAGAATTGCTCTGATTTTAAATGATTTTTTAAATGTATACTAGTCTTATATTTTGAAGTAGTATTACCTTTTATGATGTGTTGCTTAAATATTTGTGAGACTGAATGGTGTAATTTTTTCCCTAGTGGAACAAAGCTGTTGAATTGGCTAAAAGTCATAGTATGAAAGAAATTGGATCTCTGTTAGCTAGATATGCATCTCATTTACTGGAAAAGAACAAGACTCTTGATGCCATTGAACTCTATCGGAAAGCCAGTTACTTTTTCGATGCGGCTAAACTGATGTATAAGGTAATGGTCTTGGTGAATATTTGGTGTATTCTAGTTACAATTTCTTAAAAAAAATATAGTGCTAAACAAATTTTATCTTCTTTGTAAACAAGTATCTGTTATAGAAAAACCTCTTATTTTATTACCACTACTGCCATGTGTATTATTATGTTCTGTTAACAAGGGTATCTATAGATGCCAGCAACTTACTGGTACTTAAACAATTGTGTATTTGTCATGGAAGTTAACCAAAGACTTAGGAATTTTCTGAGACTTCCAAGAACATATTCCCTTAAATGGAATTAAATCCTATTGATAGAGAGTTTTGAGTCCTTGCAAAATGAAAATATTATAAAATAGTACATTTTCACAATATCCATAATGCAGTATTAATCCACTCAATTTTTTATATTATTTTGTCTTCTTTTCTTGCTTGATTTAATAAAAAGAGAAAATTTCCCTCAAAGTCACTTAAATAAATTTAAATTTCTGAAGGATGTACCACCTTCTTCACTCTTAGTTATTTAATAGAAGATATTATTTTTTAAGATTGTTAGTTTCAGTTCCAGTGACTAAAAACTGAGGAAAAGAAAATGGATTTTAAAATATTAAAGATAATTGTATTTACATTTTGTCCTTCTGCTCTTCCTCCTCTTTTAAAAAATCAAATTATAGTTAATTTTGGAAATTATTTTATTTGTACAAATGTACATTAAGAAATATCTTCCCACAATTAAAAAAATGTTTAAAGATTGCAGATGAGGAGGCAAAGAAAAGGAGCAAACCCTTACGTGTCAAGAAGCTCTACGTGCTGTCGGCCTTACTCATAGAGCAGTACCACGAACAAATGAAGGACGCCCAGCGGGGGAAAGTCAAAGGGAAGAATGCAGAGGTAAGGTGGAACAGGGTCCTACTCTGCCAGATCATCTGGGTGTTCACTCAGGCTTCTCTTCCTGGACAAGCCCTTTACTGTGCATACCTGCATTGATTTCCTTTAAGCAGCTGGAAGAAAAGGGATGCTTCATCTAGATTAATTAGGCATGCAGAATTAGAAATTTCTATTTAGAAAGGTTTAAAACTTTCTAAGACTAGTTTGTAGTCTGCTTTAATTTACTTTTATTAAAATTTTTATTTGCTTAGTAAATTTTCCTTTCTAATCAAAGAATTAAAAAAAAACCCTTAGAATATATCTATTATTTTTTTTTACTGTAAATGAATCTCATTAACAAATAAATTTCACATTAACTTAAAGTTTAATCCGTTCTTTTTTAAAATTTGATCTTATCAGTTTAGTAAAGTCTGAGTTATAATGGAAAACTTATGTCTGTAATGACAGTATTATAATGACAAAATTTGCTGTTTAGATATGTTGATGAATCAGTTTTAGGCCTTACTTTCATCACAGTGATGCTGCTTGTGCTGGGTGGTACTGCATGTGTTTGGGCTGACAGAGTGTCTACTGGCTCTTCTCCCAGGCCACTTCTGCTTTGGCTGGCTTGCTGGAAGAGGAAGTTCTGACTACAACTAGTCGTTTCACAGATAACCCTTGGAGAGGAGCTGAGGCTTACCACTTCTTTATACTTGCACAGCGGCAGCTCTATGAGGGATATGTTGACACCGCATTGAAGACAGGTAGGCGTGACACCTAATGTATGTAGTATGCCTGAAAAATATCAAAGTGGGTAGGAAGGGTTAGCTTCTTCAATTTGTTTATATACATGTATTTATTTTTATTTTATGTGATGAGTGTATTGCTTGCATGTATGTAAGTGCACCCATGTCATGCAATGCCTGCAGAGGTCAGTAGAGGGCATTGAATCTCCTGGAACTGGAATTACGGATGGTTGTTAGCTGCAGTGTGGGTGCTGGAAACCTAACCCAGGTCCTCTGCAAGAGCAGCCAGTGCTCCTAACTGCTAGCCATCTCTACAGCCCCAATTTGCTTTTATAATTATTTTACTATTTCCCCCATAGACTTATTTTCTTGTGTCGATATTATGAACACATAATTTATTTTGTGTGTTCCCCCTTTTGAAGATTTTCAGTTTTAAAAACATAGCTGTACATAATAGTTCACAGAAATATCAGATGCTTGAGTTGGAAAACAAGCATTTGCTATAAGCATGTCTAGCATTTATATACTACCTGCTCAAAGCTAAACATTTAATGGACCAATCCATAGCATTTTGAACTATATATTTACATATATAGATATATCTGTATCTATATAAAACTTTCTAAAACTTTTTACAATATATTGGAAGCATAACAGGAATATACTTTAAACAATGTTTTAAAATACCTTCATATTGTATACATTTCTATAGCATTTATCCTTTTTTCATAATCATTATTTAATAATATTGGCTAAATTAGAAAAGTACAAAAAGACAAATTAATAACAGAAAATAATTTTTTAAGTATTTTATTATTTTTTAACTTTTTATGTGTATGAGTGTATTGCCTGCATGTAAGTATGTCCATGTCATGCAATGCCTGTGGAGGTCAGAAGAGGGCATCAGATCCCCTGGAACCGGATGTACAGTTGTTAGCTGCCATGTGGGTGCTGGAAATTGAACCTGGGTCCTCTGCAAGGTGCTTTTAACCCCTGAGCCATCTCTCTAGCCCCCAGAAAACCGTTTATATTACTCAGAGATAACCATTGTGAATATTTGGGTAAACTTTCTTTTTATTTAATTTGATTTATTTATTTTTGAGCTAGGGTCTCACTGTGTAACTCGGATGGCCTGAAACTTACTAGGTGTGCTGGATAGCTTTAGTGTCAACTTGACACACCTGGGTTGAGGGAGCCTCAGTTGGGGAATTGCCTCTATTGGACTGGCCTGTGGCCATGTCTGAGGGGCATCTTCTTGATGAGTAATGTGGGAGGGCCCAGCCTACTGTGGGTGGTGCCAGCCCCGGGCAGGTGGGCCTGTGTTGCATAAGAAAGCAGGCTGAGCAGGGGCCAGGGGAGCAAGCCTACAGTAAGCAGCGTTCCTCTATGGCCTGTGCTCCAGCTCCTGCCTCCAGGTTCCTGCCCTGAGTTCCTACCTTGGGCTCCTGGATGAACTGTGACCTGGGATATGTAAGCTAAATAAACCCTTTCCTCCCCAAGTTGGTAGTGGTCAGAGTATTTTGTCACAGCAATGAAGAACAAACTAAGACACTAGGTAGACCAGGCTGTCCTTGAACTCACAGAGATTTTCCTTCCTTTTGCCTTCTAAGTGCAGGGATTAATGTTGAGCACTATACTAGGCCTCTCACATTTATTATTTAGTGTATGTAAGTGTGTATGTGTATGTGTACGTGCCATATATCTGTGTATGTGTGTCGGGGCACATGTGGAAGTCAGAGGACAATTTTGGAATCAGTTCTCTCCTTCCATCAGGAGTCCCAGGGATGGAACTCACATTGTCAGACTTGGTGGCAAGTGCCCTTTGGGTACACTTTCTTTGAGACATTTTTCCACTCCAGAGCTCCTTTTTCTCCTCAAGAATATAATCATTTTCTCTCATTGTTAAGCATGGATCATTATCAACTTTAACAACTGCAGAATAGTCTATGGATTTTATGTACTATAATTTGTAGGTTATTTACATGCATATGGATATAGATTTCTTCTGGATTAACAATGTCCTAGAGTTTAGATATATTAATTTTTCTGCTTATTAATTCTGAAGAACATCGTTAGGAGATTTATGCTGTAAGCAGAGCATAAAAATGAGTGACTGACACATGGTGGACAGCAGTGTAAGTACTGTCACCCTCTGTCCTGCCCTCCAGCACACCGGGTGGGCCACTGTGACCCTTCCGTCTGCTCATGTCACCGAGAGCAACAACACACTCTAATACTGATAGCTCTGTAGTCTAATAAAATGATTTTTAAACATCTTTTAAAACACATATATATTTAAATTTATATATTTTTATGTGCATGTAATGTTTTGCCTGCATGTAAGTGCACCACATGTGTGCAATGCCCTCGGAAGTCAGAAGAGAGCATCAGGTCCCCTGGAACTGGAGATACTACGGATGGTTGTTAGCCACCATGTGGGTGCTGGAAACTGAACCCAGGTCCTCGCAAGAGCAGCAAGTGCTCTTAACCATGGAGCTATCTCTCCAGCTCCAGATCTTTTATCTGAATGTTTCTGGAATTCTGTAGGAGTGATTTTTATGTTTTCCTAATTGGGATGAGATGTCTTCAAAGACTATATATAATAACCCTCTTTCATATATGCTGATTTTTCCTAGCATTTATAAGTTGTTACTACTCAGCCATTTTGAGCTGTAGTTTCTTTGTATGCAAGTGGACATATGCTGCTCTTCCTCACGGAGTTGCTCTAATGGTTAAGTGAGATGTTCCTGAAAGGAAAACTTTCTTAATATGGAGCCTGAATGTTGTGGCCTCTGTAAGTGGCAGCTATGAGGCAGTGTTGATGGTGTTTTCCACATAGTCATATTGGCCAGTCTTTTTCTTTGTTATCTTTAAGAGAGTAGAGAAATGCTTAAGGAGTTTTACACCTCATGGCTAGCTTACATTTTTATAGTTTGTCTTAAAATTGCTTATTTAAAATGCGTTCTTGGGAATGGAGAGATGGCTCAGCAGTTAAGAGTGCTTGCTGCTCTGGGACTAGAGTTCTGACCCCAGCACCCATATTGGGCAGCTCACAAATGATTATAACTCCAGTTCCAAGTGATCTGACTCTCTTCTGGCCTCCTTGGTACCCACAAACACAAGTTCACATATTCTCAGATACAGACACAGAGAGAGGTATACACACACACACACACACACACACACACACACACACACACAAATGTATTCTTTCCTTATAGATTTGAAGTTATACCATGGTGTGTGTGTGTTTTGAGACTATGTAACCTAGGCTGGCCTCAAACTTGCAATCCTCCTGTCTTTGTTTGCTGAGTGCTGTGATTCTGGGCATGACTGCCACCATGCTCAGGTAGACTTATATTCTTAATTTCCCCCTAGATTATTATTTACCATTCTGTATTTCTTGGCCAGTGTTATCCTCTATTTATTTATTTATTTATATATTTATTTATTTATTTATTTATTTATTATTTATTTATTTATTTCTATATCTGTATGATTGTATGCTAACATGTGAGGGTGCCCACAGAGGCCCGCAGGGGGTATCAGATCTCTTGGAGCTGGAGTTACAGGTGGTTGTGAGTCATCTGATATGGGAGTTGGGAACTGAATTTGGCCCTCTGGAAGAGAAGCAAGTACTTTTAACCTCTGAGCCATCTCTCCAGCCTCCTTTTACTCATTTTTATATTCTACTTATTATTTAAGCTTGCCAGTACCATCTTTTTAAATCAAAGAAGATTTTGGATATTTTCTTATATTTATTCATCCAGATGAACTTAATAATCTTTTTGAGGATGGGGGAGTTTCAATGACATTTCATTGGATTTGAGATTAGAACTTCATTTATCAATGTGAGATCATTGATATGTTAATAATGAGCTTTCTCATCCAGAAACATCAATTTTTAAAACCATTTATGTGGGGGCTGGAGAGATGGCTCGGTGGTTAAGAACACTGGTTGTTCTTGCAGAAGACCTGGGTTCGAATCCCAGCACCCACATGGCAGCTCCAGTTCCAGGAGGTATCATATGAGGTGTAGGAAAAGGTCCATTGCTGATCCTGCTCAGACGGTGCTCTCTTCTACTATTCTGAGGTTCTGATTCTTTGAGGAAAAATACAATGAATCAGAAGTTGGTGAGTGACCTTTAAAATCAAATAACCTAAAAGTACCATTAAATTCTCTATTATTATGTTTGTTATGTAAATAACCTAGAATATATATGTCAAAGTACTTCGATTCCATTTTAAATAAAGCATAACATGATTTAGGGAGCCGTTACTGTTGGCAGGGTCAGAATCTGTGAGGACACGAAGGCGTGGTTCGTGTCACCAGGGGATCTTGTAAGCTAGCGAAGGGAAGACTAATGCATGAATTGTAATCAATTCAAGTGTAAGAGCCAATATGATCGTTTCTATGAGCAAGTTTTTTCAATCATTCAACAAGTATTGGCAGGCACTGTGCAAACTCTAAAAGTAAATTACTTTTTCTGGAAGGAATAAGGTCACAGAAGTTTTATAGAAGTGAAAATTCAACTTTGAAGAAGAGGTTAAAATTTGTCAGATAGAGAATTGGAGCAGGTGTGACAGATGATGTGATGAAGAAGGAAAATAGACAGGCAAATACCATGTATGTCTGGGAAATAGTAAGTAATAGGATGGGCAAGAGTCATAATGTGCTCTTAGAAAATATGGGTCTCAGGGCTGGAGAGATGGCTCAGTGGTTAAGAACACTGGCTGTTCTTGCAGAAGACCTGGGTTCGAATCCCAGCAACAACATGGCAGCTAACAACTGTCTGTAACTCCAGTCCGAGAGACTCTGACAGTCTCTTCTGACTTCTGTGGGCATTGCACGACATGGGTGCACTTACCTACATGCAGGCAATACTTGCATACACATAAAATAAAAATAATAAATAAAATTAAAACCATTTATGTGTCTGTTTCTTTCCAAATGTTTCTTTTGCAGTTTATTTCTATTGTTGTTGTCATTAGCAATAGGACTGTAAAAAGTTTTTACAATTTTTAAACTTATAACTGACCATTTAATTTTAATTAATGTGATATAAATTATGCAGTTTACAGTTAAAAGAAAACAGACTTATGAGATTCTTCACCTGTCGGGTGAAGATATCTTAATTTTTTTGTCTTTCAGTGATAAAATGATATGAAATAGTATGTACCTTGTAATTATTGCCTGTGAACGTCTTATATTCCAAATGTGAAATTGTAGGGTTCTGTTTATTATGACTGATGAATATATATTTCAAAATTCTCCCACTGAACTTTGCTGTCAGAACCAGCTGACAGGAATCTCATGATAAGATACATGAATACATTCTGTCATGTGTGCTTTGCTACATTCACATTATGCTATCAGAAGGTATCTTTAAGCTTTTAAGATCTAGAGAGGAAAAACATACAAATCTGATGTTAATTTTGCAGTGCATTTTAAGGAAGATTGTATATATAGTGCAGAAAAATTATAGATAAGATGTAGCAGCTGTCAAAATAAAGGGTCTGCCCTGATAGCTTGGAAGCTCATGTGTACTTTAGAGTCCTGTTATCTCAGCAAGACAAACAAGCAAACACTAATCTCTTCAGAGAAACACAGAGCATGATTCCTGCAGCATTGCTTCTTCTTTGCAAGAAAAATGTATGTTATCTTAAGAATTATAACTAATATATTAATTTGCCCTGTCTTGAATGCACAGAAATTCTGAATTAAATGGAGTAAAAGATGCACGTTCACCACTAAAACTTTTTTGTCTGTATCTCCTTGTTAAATGAGCATGACTCTGGGCATCACACTAGTGACTGTTGACTTCTCAGAAACTGAAGATCCTCCTGCTTCTCCAGGTGGTGCTCCTGCCCTTAGCATCTCTCTGTTAACTTAGACCAGCACACCGTAGGTGTGTATGTAGGTTAACTGAGACCAGCACACCATAGGTTAACTGAGACCAGCACACTGTAGGTTAACTGAGACCAGCACACCGTAGGTTAACTTAGACTAGCACTCCTTAGGTTAACTTAGACCAGCACACAGTAAGTGCTGTCCCATCCGCGTTCACTGATGTCAGGATGGTCTTTACCGATGAGGAATGCCCTTTCTCTTCTAGCTCTGCACCTGAGAGACTATGAAGACATTATTCCTGCGGTTGAGATCTACTCTTTGTTAGCACTCTGTGCTTGTGCAAGTAGAGCTTTTGGCACCTGTTCCAAAGCGTTTATTAAACTCGAATCCTTAGAGACCCTCAGTGCAGAACAGAAGCAGCAGTATGAAGACCTTGCTCTGGAAATCTTCAGCAAACACACTCCAAAGGATAACAGAAAATCTGAGCTGAACAGTCTTCTTGAAGGGTAGGCTCATTGAAATTAGATGTCATTTACTTAGAAGCTTGGATATAATTAAAACACTAAGTTTTTGATGTAATTTATGTTAGCATTAAACTCTTATCTTACAAGTATGTTAATGTATTTTTCGTTTTAAGAAAAGTTTTTATTTGAAAAAATTTTGAGATGAAAGTATTTTATTTGAAGTTTGTCTTAGAATCTTTTCATTCTTGCTTTTAAAGCATATCAGATAAGGTTATGCTAATCACACATTTTAAAGCCCGTTTTCCCTCTTGCTTTTACAGTGGAGAAGGAAAGCTGCCAACGTGCATTGCTACCGGAAGCCCAATCATTGAGTATCAATTCTGGGTGTGCAAAGTATGCAAACACTGTGTTCTTGCTCAGGAAATCAGTAACTATAACTTCTGTCCTTTATGCCACAGTTCAGTAGAATAAAGGAAAGAACTGTGTTAATTGTAAAATTTATGTAACGTAGATACCTATCTGCACCTCTATATGTAATGCTTAATTTCCTTGTTTTATATGAAAATGGGCTTCATCATCTAGTAGTTGTAGTTTGTTACAAAATATGTATTAGGATAATAAAGCAAAGGCTGGGACGTAGCTTCATGGGAGAGTGCTTGCCAAGCATGCATGAGACCCTGGAGTGCATTGTCAGCACTGCAAAAAGAAAAAGAAAAACATGGGATAATTGTTGCACAGAAATGCAACTATGAAATAATACGATTATTGTCACACAAAATTCATGGATGTGAATTTTATTTTCTTTCTGTGTTTTCTATCCATCTATCTTTATATATCTTAGGGTTTGTGATAGATGAAAATATTCCCAACAAGAAATATTTTTCTTATCAAGGTTACTAATTCATTATAAAATCTTAGTGAGGTAGGTGGGCATGGAGGAGGCACAGGAGTGAATTCAGGGAACTGACATAACCTGTATCACAGGGTAAACAACTCTGTTAGGAAATGAGCCTTATTTTCAGCTATATTTAAGTATTGAATGATTTCTATATTTTATTTTCATTAAGTGAGGAGATAGCATTTTAGGACTTATTATTAGAAGTTTAAAAATTATTTTCATTCAGGAGGGGGCATTTGACAGTTACCCATTTTTCTTATAATAAACATGAATTAACTGACTTGAGTAATGCTGTTATTTTTTTTAATCATCAAGCTTATCCCAAATTATGCTGCTTCAAAATACTCTTGTAAGCCTAAGTGCTGAAATGATAAGCCCAGCTGATAGAGCTATACAAGTAAGCAGTGCGCCCAATAATCAGTACCATTGTTAACCCTCTACCATTGCAAATAGAACTTCATTGTATTTTGTTAAAATATACTTTGAAATTATCTTTCTATATTCCTGGAGCTGGGTTCCTAGGTTTTTATGAGATAATATTTGAAGTAAGTATGACAGTAATAAATTCTGAAGAAACAATAACATAGCCTATGTTTCCTTTCTCTATAACTTATGGATAACATGGTGTTTGGTTTGTCTAAACTCAAGTATTTTGGTGAGAGTTCAGAAAGGGGGTAAGATGTACAGGACACACACACACACATATACATACTTATATACATTTATTATCTGTGTGTCCGTCCATCCATCTATCCATCCATTCATCCATCCATCCATCTAAATAACTTTTTCTATCACACAGGGGAGACAAACCCAAATATTATTAAGCTAGTAGGCAAATGTCATGTGACTGGAAGTGTCAGAGAATTATTCCTTAAGAGGTCACACAGAATTTTCATTCCAAAACAAAAGAAAAAAAATAGACTAAGAAAAAACAATCAAGTGTATTAATTTGATGACATAGCTCCAAAATCTTGTTCCTGGTTTTCCAAAATGAAAATAGCAATATTATGTTGCCCTCTACTGTCTATTTCTGATTATTTTCTTATTTTTTCTTTTAGAAAGTAACATTTATTGTTTTAATTATAAAAAAATAACATGTTCATGGTAGAAAGTTTCAGAAATACTTGGGAATATAGATGAGAAAATAAAAATAGTTGTAACCTTTTAAAAAATAAAAACCATTTATATTTTAGTTTAATTTCATAAAATACAGGCAAAACTGAAAAAAATTCATTATAATCAAGTGTTTCTAACAAGTTGTTCTTAACATATTTCTCCAATATTAAAAAAAGATATCAGGGTTGGAGAGGTGTCTCAGTGGTTAAGAGCACTGGCTACTGGCTGCTCTTGCAGAGGACCAGGATTTGAGTCCCAGTACCCACATGGCAGCTTACAACCATCTGTAACTCCAGTTCCAGGGGATCTGATGCCCTCTTATGCCCTCTGTGGGCACTGCATGACACGGGTGCACTTACATAAAGGTAGACAAAATATTCATATACATATAATAACAAGGTCACCTTTCCATGAATTGTCTACATCCATCCTTTACAAATCGGACATTACTCTTGTCTTTTCTTCGTGATACTAACCTCTATCAGACTTTTTGTTTAATTTTGTCTGTTGTCATTCTAGGCTATAAGGTACTGAGGACAAGAACTTTTTTGTTCACTATATTAATCCCAGTTTTAAAAAGTGCGTCTGCAACATAGCAGATGCTCAATAAATACTTTCAGTAGGAAGCTCTGTTAAAGATGGCAATTATTTTTTAAGTTGATTTCTTTTCTGCCCTTTATTGTTATAGTTAATTCTACCAAATGCCTTATAATTTTTCTTTCTTCGTCTTCATTGTGTTGCTGTAACAGAATACTGGACCACTTCTAAATAAATTTGTCTCACAGTTTCGGAGGCTGGGAAGTTCGATTGTGGAACTACATATGGCGAGCAGGCCTTCGTGCGTCATCAAAGCATGGCCAAATGCACAGAGAAAGAGTTTGTTACAATACCATTGCCTCTTAAATGACCCTCAAGTCTATTCTTGAGAGTGGAGCCCACTGGTATTAGGCACCACTTCAGAACGCTGTAGCATTGGGAGCGTTTCCAACAGGAACCTGGGGACACACATGAAAACTTACAGCACTCCCTTTTTATGTATTGGAAACTCTGTTGTACTTAATTATATTTTTTGTTTTTGGGTCTCAAATTAACTTTTTAAATAATCTAGAATCAATACATTAATACTATTTCAACTGGTATCTATAGTGCTTTCTTGGAAAAAGACCCCACCCCATAAAAAACCAACATTCCGCCTTCTCCGCCTCCCAAAAGAAAAAAAAAAAACCACCAAAAACTTCAGGCCAATATTTCTTCCCCCGTCTCAGGATCTTAAAAACAACAAAACAAAACAAAACAAAACAAAACGGGCTGGAGAGATGGCTCAGTGATTGAGAGTACTGACTGCTCTTACGGAGGACCTAGGTTCAATCCCAACACCCACAAGACAGCTATGACCGTCCTTAACTCCAGTTCCAGGGGAATCCGCAGCCCTCTTCTGACTGCCCTGGCATTGCACGATATGGCAGCACTCACATACATGCAGACAATACACTCATACACATAAAAAAAAATCTTTTTAAACAAAACAAAAAAAGTTAAAGATTAAAAATACTTCACAAAGGTATGTTTAAATTCTCTTTATTCCCCGCGAGCGTTTCCATAAGCCACTAGTTATCTCGCGAGACTGTGGCTTCCCCAAAGGTACAAATTTCCCCATTCAGCAGCGACCAGCTTTTGTAGTCCAGTTAAGCCCCGGACTGGGAAGAGTGGTTCTGTGCTTGGGATTCTCATCACTGACCAGCCAACCTGCATTCCGCACCGAGAGCTCGGCGGTCATGGAAGGGCAGCCAGGCCGAGAGAGCCACGCCACCCTAGCGCTAGCCCAGGCTCGGTTCGAGAAGGGCGAGTACTTGGAAGCCGAAGCGCTGTACTCCGCGTATATTCGCCACTGCGCCTGTGCGGCTTCCGCGGGCGTGAGTCTCGGGAGGTAACTATCACGAGATGTGGGGGCATCGCGAGATGTGGGCGCCGTGACGTCTTCCCGATTCGTGTTTGGCTGACGAGGTGTGCTTGGGTTCATGGTCTTTGGAGTCCACGGGCTTGGACCCAGCACGAGGACGAAGCCGGACTTGTTATTCTCCCAGAAAGGCTCAGGTGGCAGCCCGGGCGAGCCAGCGTTCCGCGCGCCCCTTGGGCGGCGCCGGTATCCCGACTGCTGCCACGTCCTGCCTTTCTCGCGCCTTGAGCCCAGGCTAGAGCGGACTGGCCTGTGTTCCCGCATTTACCCGGCAGCATGACGGGTTCCCGGGGAGGGAAGGTGCTCGGTGCAGCCCCACCGGAGCGGTGTTGGGGCTCCGACCACAAGGTCCCGGGTCCCAGCCGGATCGCTGCATTTAACGTTATGCAAACGTTTGAGGACGTGGAGAGTCCAGTGACCAGTCAGCTTCATCCCTCGGCTTAAGCAGCATCCGTTCACCCCGCCATCATGTTCGTTTATGAATACTTAGAACACATTCCTGAAAGTTAAGAGTTCCTAAAAAGACGCTGTATCACTATCTGTCACAGGATATCTTACTATCAAATACCAGTCAGCGTTGGAACCTCTGATAGACAGATAAAGCTCTTTGTTACTTGGTGGCCTGTGGTTTAGCAACTGGCTCAAGTCAAGATGCACATCCGATCCCTCTTTAAGCCTACTCTTTAACTTTCAGTTTGTTGAAAAGTGATTTGTAAGTGGAGAGGGTCCCTCTTTTGGCCCTGATTTGAGCCTAATGCTACTGACTGTGGTCCTCGGTCTATCGTATTGCTTGTGAATTAGTAGTTAAATCCTGAGATTTGATCAACTTATATACAAGAACACTTTATCTGGAGGTGCGTATTTCCACTATAAGTTTGATTTTTTTTTTAGATTTAAAAAATTATTTATTTAATAACCACATAATTAGAAGCATTTCCTTACAACAGCATTGACGTTTAATAACAATTTCCAGAGCTAAGCTGCATCTCTTTCAAAATTGGCTGTAAATTTTTAGGTTTACAGCAGAATTAATAGTTACACAATATTGTACTCAGTATAAACCCTATAAGATATAAAATTAAATGAGGT